GAACTAAATCCAAGAGCCAGCTTAGCCCGTGGACTCAAAGCCCTGGGAGCTGATCAGATTTGGCTGGTTGGCCCCTGCTCAGGAAGTGCATTCTGTTTTGGACAAGCTCCCAGCGTGTCCCATGGTGTAGAGTTAGAGGGTGGTTCTTTCTGATTTGATAATCCATATCAACCTAACTCACTTACACGCAAACCCTGGCGAGGAGATTAGGGCTCCTGTGTATTTACGTAGAATAAGGCAACGATTCAGACTAACACCCTGCCCTAGAGGGGAGACAAGTAAGGAAGAGATGTGAGCCAGTGGGAGCAAATCCTAATCCTCTGGGTTCTCCCAAGCAGGTAGCACTGTCGTCTGACAACAGACATATGAGAAGACAGCATGCTTCAGAGCTCTGGCACTTGGCAGGGACAGAATTGTTATTTCTTCTCTTTCTTAGGAGCAGATAGGACTATCGCTCTGCCATATTTCAGAGTAAGTAGAATCAAGACCATGAGTGGAGCTGTAACATAATCAGGGCTGCATCAGTTCTTCAAGACTGAAGGACATCTCAGGCCATTATCACTGCCATCTCACCGTCAGGGAAACGCATGAGATCTGAGCCATCGGGGAGCAGGGGCAAGCGGAGGACACCTTCTCAGATGAAGTGGGAGGAAGAGAGCTGCCAAAAGAAACCAGAGCCCTCAAATTTCACCCTGAGCAAACGCACAGAGAGACTTAGACCTGACTGCTTGGGCCACGGGACTCTCCAAAACGAAGCAGCTTGTTTAAGGTTCCTCTGCTTCTTGGGATGGGGCGTAGCTGCAGCGAGGCTGGGACGTGACTTCGTCAGGCTGGGCAGCAGCTGGTGGGTGGGGATGCCGCAGTGTCTAGCAGCGAAGGAATGCAGTCCTTGCTCCATAAATCTGACTCTTCAGCAGTTCTGGTGACTTGCTGTGCAAAACTACAGCTTGGTCCTCTTAGATGTATTAATTATCCTCTAGCTGCTTGCTGAGGGGCAGGGCTCCTACCCACAAATTGCTTGGAAGGTACCAAAATAGCACCACAGGCATGGGAACAGGGTGGTGGATCCACCTCGTATTTAAGAGTTATCCCCTGGAAAAGGACTAGTCCTGTGGGTCCCAAATGAGTTCACTGCAGTCCCTCTCTGTTGCATTGATGTTAATGCAGAGAACCTCAAGCAGTGAAACTGTGTGAGCTGGAAGCCATGAATAAAATATTGCTGGAGATATTCTCTTGTGAAAACAAACTTGGTTTGACTTTTTTTTTTTTAAAACAATGTCTTTTTACTGCCTTGAAGCAAGCTTGGCTGGTGAATTGGGACCTCTAGAGGGGTGGCCAGCGTTCCTGTGTGTCACTGACCGAATTTTCCCTCTGACCAAAATCCTGAGCACGAAGGGGAAGCCACAGCCAGGACATGATGAGGATGTGGGCCAGATTGGGTTGGCCAAGCAGCTGACACCACCCGTTTTGGCTGTCAGGAGGTGCTTTCCTGGGCCAGACCGAATCCTTTCATGAAGCCCTAACCTGCTTCCTCACCCTCAGTCAGCTCAAGGGCTGCAGGTTGGGCTTCTCTCTTCCTTGGATAGTCCTCGCTATAAGCTCTGATACCAGGAGAACGCAGAGACTTCCAGGCTCTGCTTACTCACCATCTCGTCTCCAATAAATCACAACTAGGCTGAGAAACCTGCCAAGGCAATATTTACTTTCTCTAATGCTTCCTGGTACATGGGAAAGGGCAGCCTCTGCCCAGGAGGAGGGTTAGCAGGCTGTCCAAGCTTACAACTATGGATAATTGGAGCACCCAGCTAACTCGCTGGCCAGGTTGTCCAGGCATGTCTCAGCAGCGCAGCCGCGCTGCGGCAGCAATGCCATTGCTGGCTGCAATGACGAGGAGGGGCAGGTGCCTCCTTTTAGCAAAAAGCAGTCAGGAAACAAGAGAGAGAAACGTGGGTTCCCACCAGCACCCCTGGGGACAGTGAGGGATGAGTGCTTTCAGCCCAAATACCCAAAGGGAATATCGGGCAGCTGGCTGCACCTATGAGCATCACAGCCCCGACTGCAAAGCCCCAGGCTGGTGTACACGCTTGCCCCAACCATTCCGACTCACCATATTCAGGGGAGCTTCAGGAGCACAAAGCTCAGTGACCTCTTGCTCAACCTGCAGCAGGCATGTCCCCTCTCCCTGCTGAGAAACAGGACCTGGGACTCGGGGTGGAACCAAGCAGGTGGGGTTAATGCAGCAGACAAGCCTTACGAACGCCAGAAATCCCATGATTTTAACCCAACTGGCCACAGCTGATGGTTAAATGCAGCCTCCACCTCCTCCTCCCACCACACATGGCTGTGGGGCTGCCAGGACCCAGCAGCATCTTTGCCAGGGTTTTGGCTCCTTTCCTGCCCAGGAGTCGCCTGCTGTGCCAACCCGATGCCAGAGCATCCTTCATGCCAACCCCAGAAATAGAGTGGAAATGCTGCAAAAGTCTTTCTTGAATGTTTTGTGCCCTCCACTGCACACCACACCACACCATACCCCCTTGCCATGCGGTCATGTTCCCTCCTTCCCTAAACGCCCCTAATTTAGGATTAAACCAAACCAACCCAAATGCCTGTGCTGGCAGGGCTCAGCCCCACTGTTCTGGGGTGCAGAGGGAAGAGGAAAGGGGATTTGCTTTCTGGTTTTGAATTTTCTGTTACAAGGAACTCTATAAATAAGTCTTGCACAACTGCATGTCTCCAGAAGTCAAAACCTTAAGGAAAATGCAACTCAGCAGTTTTTACAAGGTTCACTAGCCCCAAAATCATGATAAAGTATTTAAATCCTAGAATTATTTTGATGGGCTTCTGCTAAGGCTGTTAATCAGCAGCACCTTTGTTCCCAGCTCCATGATGGCTCTCAGCAGGGTGGACGAACCAGCATTGCAAAAAATCGGGTGTTGACCAAATGCCCTGATTTTACTGGGAGGAGAAATGCTTTTCTGCTCTTTTTATTGTTTATAGGGAAAATTAATGCTACAGTCTCCTTCACCCAGATGCAAAACCGGTCGTGGTCCTGAAATGCTCTCCCAGCTCCATCCCTGCCTGAAGAGCAGCAGCCACTCCGGCTGTATTTCTGTCTGCTGCCCTTAACCCAAGGCTGGATTTTTTTATTTTTTCCCCGAAAGCAGCTCGGCAGCAGGAGCTCAGCCTGCAACGAGAGCGTGCAGCAACCACGGCACCTGGGCAGGAGGTTATTTTGAATCTGATCCTTAACTACATGTGATGCTGGCGATTAAATAAAGCACCGAACTCTCCGTAGGGTTCCGCGTAGCCACTTCAGAGCTGCCCAGTTCTCCGCGGCGTCTCTGCCGCTGCCATCTGCCGGTCACCGTTTAACGGGACGAGCCGTGACCGTGACCTAAAAAAACCCCGTAGGCAGCTGGTTTCCTGCAAGAAAGCTGGAGCTGCCGGGTTCCTGCAGCAGGATTGCAGGGAGAAGGGAAACGCAGAGCTGCGAGGGCAGAAAAGCGAAAAGCAAAAGGTCCGATCCTGGCATCGGCTGCGGTGCTGCGAGTTTACGCCTGGCGAAGCCGTTCCCCTGCGTGCTGCTGGCGGCTGGGCGATGTTTTTCCGTGGAAATGCTGCAGGGACCCGGGATCCGGGGATGCACACCTGCATTTCGCTTCTTTCTTTGCTGCAAAGATGAAACACGGCGTGTTCGGGGGCGGGAGAGGCTGCTGGGCTTCTCAAAACACGGAACCCGAAGCGCTCCAGCCGCAATTATCATCCATCTCCAAGCTCTCTTCTTCCTGCTTTCCTTGCCCAAAAATTCCTGGTGGGGACACATTTTTGCTTTGCACTCCGCTGGGTGCTCAGGGAATATTCCCTACGTCAGCCTCAGTCTCCTCCTCCTGCTGCTTTTACACAGGCTTAAGGACGTTAAGTTGCAACCTTGCAAAAACCAGCACCCGGATCCTTTTGGAAAGCCAAAAAACCCCCAGGAGCGACATTATCTTTTAGCCATTCTGCCCAAGCACACCACCAAGAGCGTTTTGCAGACATCATGAGCAGGTCCCCGGCCCCCAGACCCCGCAGCGAGACACCGCACGCCCCACACCAGACTTTCACAACAGGATTTATTCAGTGCGTGCTCTGGGGATGCACGGGACACAGCGTCACGGGAGAGGACAGGAATATTGGCCTTCAGGTCATTCTCCACCTCATCTGTTTAAGAAATCAAAGGATGCACCAACCAGAGAAGGGACTGTATCGCCTCGTCCCTTCCACCAGTCTGCAGAGCTTGTCATGTATTTTACACACCTTACTGGGAATCCTCAGGTGAAGGGAGCAGAGATGTGGGGGAATAAAACTCACGGTGTCCCAGACTACGAAAGCGGTCCTCTAACAAGTCCTAGCACCACCAGTAACCTCTATCATCACTCACTCGGCTCTCTCGAGCTCAAATTGTACCAGCAGACGTGATGACTTGTTTCTCCTGGACCTGGTTCCACCACACATAAAGTATACGTCAACTGGGATCTGTACCTAAACTCAAATACACTTAAGTTATGCAAAGAAGGAAGCCATGCAGGAGAAAGCTGCATGAAGGAGCTGGTAACTCCTCTTCAGCGCCGAAGGCTTTTCTTCTGCGCATGCACACGGGTGCAGGCACACGCGTAAAATCAAGTCATGGCAAGGGACTAACTGTGGAACACGTGGTAGAGAGCAGAAGAGAGGAAGGAGGCAAGGGTTGGAGAGGTGTGGGGAGGAGAAAGGAGTACAGAGGTGTAGTACTGGCTGTAGCTACACCAGAACCAGGAGGAGATAGACATCTTCTCCTGTGGGGGAAAAAAAAAGCCACTCTTTTTGGACAAGAAGGGAAGAGATGAAACTTCTCCAAAATTAAGACAGACACATCAAGAGGGGAAAAGAGCATTTTTGTTGGAAACTCATCCTGACAAACACCAAACCCAGCCACCACATCTCATCTACAGGCAAACACCAAAACCAACGACCATGTCTCATCACCACTCGGGTTTCCAAGTCATTGTGCTTTCCCTGGGGACACGGTGCAGCGGGGCCTGCCAGCCGCACAGGTGGGCGGGATAGCTCATCACTTCCAGTTTGGACATGGACCAGAAGCCCAGGCTGGCTGGGAAGAAAGGAGAAGCGTCCGAGGTCACCAGCATTATGGCAGACACCCTCCTGCCCTTGGATCTCCCCAGGAAGGGGACCAAGTTCCCATGGGACTGCCAGATGCCCTTGGCTCGTCGGGGCTGGAGCAGATAAGGCAGTGCAAGAAGAGAACGTGTCAACCTGAATTGTCGGTGGTGTCTCCCAAGCCTACCAGGGTTGTGGAACAGCCAATGCTGAAGAAAGCCTTGGTGACCGGTGCAGGGACAGCTGAGAAAGACCATTCAAAGCAGAAGGCCCACCAGGATGACACTGGGAAGAAGGAAGAGTGAAAGCCCCAAGCAGGTACTGGGGGCTCCAGCCATGGGCTGATCCATGCTTGTCTGGTCTGAATTTGTCTCCAGTTCTTCAGTGTCCAGGGCACCTGCTGGCAGAAGAGAAGAAAATATGGAGTTAGAGGGGAAGATCTGGGCAAAAAAGGAACGCCCGCTCATGCAGGTCCATCAGCGATGTGCATCAAGACACCACGAGGTGCGAGGCAGCAGTGCACGGATCCAGCGAAGGCAGGACACAGCCGGTGGGTTAGTGAGGAGCAGGCTGTGAACAAAACCATGCTTCACGAACGAGACATCCAACTAGCCCTTTCCAGTGTTAGAGGGAAGAGTGAGGAAGAGGGTTGGTGTCACAGACGAGAGGAGGATCCAAAGGACCAGTCCAATACTGGTTCCTCCCAAGCGCTCTCCATGCTGCTTGGGGATCACTGAACATCTGAGTGTCCATGCCAGGACAGACTCCACAAGTACCTTACCTGAGAGGGAGGTCTGGAAAGCGGGGCTCTGCCCTTTTTTCTCTTTGGAAGATGATGTTAAGCGCAAGAAGGTGGGCTCTTCAGGGCTGAAGACCACTGACTTTGAGGGGGTTATGAGCTCAGCTTTGTTGAAACCTAACTTGATGTCTGGAACAATTTGGCCGAGGGATGGAGATGGACTGGAAAAGGCTGATTTCTCTTTCCCGTCCTCTTTGACACCTCTTTTTGTTTCTAGGACTGATTTGGGGCTGAAGGCTGTGCCCATGCTTTCTAATAAGGCTGGATCCTCTGTAGTTAAGGGACTAACAGGCTCTCCAGTGTTTACCTCTACTTCTGGAGATACTTTATAATCCAGGTCTAACGTGGGCTCAAACGAAAGAGTTAGCCCAGTTGCCTCAGTAGGACTGGGTCTTTCTGTGTTGGTGGGTTCTGGCTTTGTGGTTGTGGCAATTTTTGTTTGTGTCTTTGCTGTTGTGGTATGTGCTGGTGTTGTAGTGGTGAGTTTTGGCTTTGCTGATGTTGTAGTAGCAGGTGTTGGCTTGGCTGTAGTGGTGGTAGATGTTGGTGTGGTGGGTGTTGGCTTGGCTGTAGCAGCTTTGGGCTTAACTACAGTTGTGGTGGGCTCTGGCTTGGCAGTAGTGGGGGTTGTGGTGGGTTTTGGTGTGGTGGGTATTGGCTTGGTGGTAGTGCTGGTTGTGGTGGCTTTTGGTGTAGTGGGCTTTGGCTTGGCAGTAGTGCTGGTTGTGGTGGCTTTTGGTGTAGTGGGCTTTGGCTTGGTAGTAGTGCTGGTTGTGGTGGGTTTTGGTGTGGTGGGTGTTGGCTTGGCTGTAGTGCGGGGTGTGGTGGGTTTTGGTGTGGTGGGCATTGACTTGGCTGTAGTGGTGGGCGTGGTGGGTTTTGGTGTGGTAGGTGTTGGCCTGGCAGTAGTGCTGGTTCTGTTGGTTGTTGGCTTAGTGGTAGCAGTTGCTGTGGTGGGTTTTGGTGTGGTGGTTGTTAGTATGGAGGGCTTTGGCTTGGCAGCAGCAGTGGTAGGTGCTAACATGGTGGGTTTTGGTTTGGCCATGGGTGTGGTGGCTGCTGGTGTTGCAGGTTTTGGTTCGGCTGAGGTTGTTGTTGGGAGCATGGTGGAAGGTTTTGGCTTGGCTGTAGTTGTGGTTGGGAGTGCGGTTGTGGGTTTTGGCTTGGCTGTGGTTGGG